TCTTCTACCCCTAACCCTGTTGGAGACGGGACCTCCATTTATTCGTCTCTATCCGAGAAGAATAGAATATCGAACCATTTCTTGGTGTTATAGAAAGGTAACATATTCTTCTCAATTATCTTAAGACCTTGAGTGTTGGTCCGGCCGGGCTTGAACCCTCATTATTTATCTATTTATCATTTCAACTATTACAAATATGACATTTACAGAGGTGTAAACAATAAAGAATTACTAATTTAATTGCATACGTGGGGTCTAACCACAAAAGTATTTTAATGAAAATCGTGGTAGAAAATAGAAATTAAGAATATGGCCGTCAATCATAAGGTTTTTTAAGTTTTGCCAAACAAAGTGAGGCTATGGGTTACCTTTTTATGATAGACTTTGCTGCTTTTCAAATATGAATTACTTTGTTATCATGCTAACTAGATACCAGTCTCTATCACAACAAGACCAACTTTCAGCTTTCCTCCTAATCAAAGGCTTGGCAGCTAAGTAAACAGCTGTAAAACAGCCTATTATCAATTTCAGAAAAAAATCTATTTTTCTTGTTTTAATAATAATTTATGGAGGATATGGAGGACCGTTTCTTTGCATTGAGCTGAGGATTCGATTCATTCAAGCAATTAATTATTTAAAGCAGCTACAGAGCTGATGGAGTCATCATCCGTCCCAACAAATCCCCAACACAACACATACAAATCACTCGAGGGTGATAACACTAAAAAGCAACGGTTAATAAACTTTATAAACAACAAAACAGTGAATTAATATCACTTTTCAGAAAGAAGAAATAAACTCAATCCGGGGAAAGAAGTAATGAGAACCGGCCGCGGCCCTCGCTAGCTGTGACTCCAGCCACGCCTTCGGCCCCGACTCTGACGCCGTTCCTGGCACCGTCGTGACTATGACTCCAGATCCCAGCCACGCCCCCGGCCCCGACCCCGACCTCGACCCGGCCTCATCCTTGGCCCCTGGTTCACTCCCGACCTTGCTCCTTGCCCCGGTCCCAGCTCTTGCGCGTAGTTTCGTAAACGCGTTTGTATGATGATAAAGTAAAGAAACACGTGAAGAAGGAAACCAAGGTACATTGGTGGGCCAACCTCAAACAGAATTTTTAGGCCTAGGTCTTTGATTGCACACCTGCGAAAGCGAGTAAGTCAAAAATTAAACTTAAAAAGACAAATTGTCGAGACAACCTAAAAAAATTCAAATGAGTCAACCCACCATGCAGAACTACATCCCGATATATAGGGGGACTCATCCAAAAAGGGAGGTGTAGTGTTCATTTTCATCTTCATAGTGGAGGTACTTGGTGGTAGTACAGAGCAGAAAATTTACCGCAAAAAGTTGAATTGGAATGCAGGAAGTTAAAATTAAATATTCATCACTTACAAGTAATCAAATGACAAAAGTGCGAATGTACAAATAAATAATCACACGTAAATAATCATCAACTATTCACCGAAGTGGAGAAGGCTAGTGGTGGATTTTTACCAAGCCACCGTTTTGGTATATACTAAAACAGAGAGATATTACAGCACAAAAAAAGGATTTTACTGAACCTGTTCATTCTTGTGACGCTGACAGTTTTTTAGGGAGCGAATCCCACGTAAGTTGATCGAATTTAATTAGCAAAGGATTTCGGGAGTTTGGGTAGCCAATCAGGGCGCGCTTTCAACGCCATCCACTGTTTTAGTGTACACTACATTTTTTATCAGCTGCTCTGCTTACAAACCTGAGTAATTCCTCCCCTTTTCCAAATTTCTGGTCGATCAAACCCTCTCCAAACATGGAAAGAACCCCTAACATCACAGCAGGTACAAGCACATAGTTTCTGCTGTTCTGATTTACCACGGGCAAAGCTCGAGCGTTGACTTTGGTGAATAAGAGAATGAGGAATGCCGTTGCTATACTTCGTATGATAAACTTAGCGCCAGTCCAGGGGATGTATGACGAGTAGAAATTGCTGTTATCATATATGTGTTTTCCTTCAACAGCCCAAACACAAAGGATCGCTCCCTCCACGAACCAGCATGTAAATCCCACGGCACCTAGACAGCAAACCTATAAGAGGGTAAAAAAGGGTCGAGTATTGCCCATTATTGCGTTTGTTTACTTTGACACACAGTGGTTGGCCAGACGAAACACCAAAAATAAACTAACATCGAAATCCTTGAGAACGGCTGTAAACATAAAATAACATCGAGATCCTTCAGAACCGCTCAACAGACTCTGCTAGCGCAAATTTAGTCCTAGTCTTTCTGTCTTTCAGCTGTTATTACGTTTTAATTCTTTGACTACGTGTCTTTTCAGGACACGTGTTTATGATGAATACAAAACGAAGTTTAATGAGGAGGCCTTCATTCCTACAAATGAACAGTCACAATTCAACAAGTTCTTGAACAGCTTCCGCACAGTTTTTTAATCAAAGTCTTTTCAACAGCGGCTCATATTCGGATATAACACAATTTAATAGATCCCGAAGCGATCTTAGCCAAAGTCGATAGAGTCGAGAAATAATAACAATTTGATTTGAAAATCTCACTCTCACCTCATTTCGGCAATCAAACTGGTATTTTAGCAGATTTTACTCTTAATTTGCACTATTGCATGGACCATAAACGTGAAATGAGTATGCGGAGAAAGATATGGTGGTTCTTCAAGTAGACTGAGGACAATGTCGATGAAAACGTCGACCGCTGAAATCTTTCACCAACGTACAAATTTCTCGGAAAACGTTCTGTGATACCGACGTCTTGGCATCGAAATGAACTGTAAGGGGCTTATAGGAGACGTAAATATTAACTTAAATCAATCATTTTTTAAGTTGTCATATAAATTTAAGACTTTACCTTACCTTACCTATAAATTTAAGGAGACTTACCATTATTTTAACACCTTTCGGTTCTTTATGTTGATTGGGATCGGCCCTCAAGTCGTTGTAATGGAGGAGACAAATTCCACAAACAGTAATTACAACGTTGACAATAATAGCAAGTATGTTGACCCATGGTTTTAGATCGAATGCACGCACAAAATATAAAGCACAGAATACAGGGGCTATGAGACAGAAACTGCCAAGAGCATTACCGCAAACTCTTTTGATTTCATCACAAGGCGACATTTCTTGATTACCGCCGCCATTATCATTCCCATTAGCCGGGTCTGCGTTGTGATTTTGAACTTCAATGGAATGTTCAAGGAATAGTAATGAACACAATAAACGATAATCTATGATCAGTGCTGTGTATAGCACTGTCAATAAATTAAACCAGCCATCATTTTCTGCACTGATTCCACTCAAAGCTATGTCGTCTTCTACATTTACTCGCGCGTCTATCCACTCGGTAAAGTTGAAAAAAGACAATAATCTGAAATAAAACTGAACATTCTCCTCTTTACCCTGGGAAATGGTAGTGTTCCGCAGATAGAGATAGGTAAAAACTTGGAAAATCTTTTGAGAAAGGAAAAAAGACTTGTCCGCGTTAACATAGTGCCACTTTGAAACGGTCAACCTTCCTTTCGCCTCGTCTGTTATGTTGGAGCTCAGGGATGCGACAAACAGCACAATCTCGATAATGACCAGAGGAAAAGTTAATAAGGAAACTACCAGACCCATGGAAGGCTGTTGTTTACCAAGAGTCAGTCTATCATTCCCCGGCGGGTCGGCTTCTCCTTGAGCTCTGTTTGGGATTTCAAAAAAACGCCAGGCACCAAAGATCGGGAAAAAAATTCCAATGACTAGATCTGTGAAGAGCCGGAAGCTCACCTTCACCCAGAGATTGTTTGCCTTTGTGAATGCATTTATACAGGTAATTAGTACCCCTACGAAAAATACAAAGAGCACTCCTTGCGAAGAAGAGATTCTAGCACAGTACCTGGAGCAAACACCGAAAATGCCCAAGGAGAACATAACCAAATAGAACATCGCAGCACAACTTGCGGTGATAACTTCATATACGACTGGCGCTGTCGAGTCAAGGTCCTTTTCGGTCGCATTTTCACAAACATTCTTGAAAGCAAAGTCTGTGAATTCTTGACCAATTCTGACAAGCTGAAAACCCATTTGACTCAGTTTTATTTTCCAAATGATCGCAATACCGGCCCGGATCGCTCCTACCGATCTTAAATTTCGAGAAGCCTCTTGCAACTCTTTTGAACTTTGATCAGTACTGACACGTCATGAATCGGATCTGATTTCCTTAATTTCTCGGAATATCAAACAACAACAAACATATGAAACATATGTGTGAACTGCGGTTATGAAACGTATATGAGCACGATCCTTCGCAGTAAAGCACTATTTGAGCAATAGTGAAAATCAGACCTGAAAAAAATTTCAGGCCTGTACGGGATTCGAACCACTGACCTCTGCGATACTAGTGCAGCGCTCTACCAATTGAGCTAACAAGCCAACTGGGAGCAGGCCATCAAATTAATTCGACATAAACCCGTAGATGATAAATCAAACAACAACAAACATATGAAACATATGTGTGAACTGCGGTTATGAGACGTATATGAGCACGATCCTTCGCAGTAAAGCACTATTTGAGCAATAGTGAAAATCAGACCTGAAAAAAATTTCAGGCCTGTACGGGATTCGAACCACTGACCTCTGCGATACTAGTGCAGCGCTCTACCAATTGAGCTAACAAGCCAACTGGGAGCAGGCCATCAAATTAATTCGACATAAACCCGTAGATGATAAATCAAACAACAACAAACATATGAAACATATGTATGAACTGCGGTTATGAAACGTATATGTGCACGATCCTTCGCAGTAAAGCACTATTTGAGCAATAGTGAAAATCAGACCTGAAAAAAATTTCAGGCCTGTACGGGATTCGAACCACTGACCTCTGCGATACTAGTGCAGCGCTCTACCAATTGAGCTAACAAGCCAACTGGGAGCAGGCCATCAAATTAATTCGACATAAACCCGTAGATGATAAATCAAACAACAACAAACATATGAAACATATGTATGAACTGCGGTTATGAAACGTATATGTGCACGATCCTTCGCAGTAAAGCACTATTTGAGCAATAGTGAAAATCAGACCTGAAAAAAATTTCAGGCCTGTACGGGATTCGAACCACTGACCTCTGCGATACTAGTGCAGCGCTCTACCAATTGAGCTAACAAGCCAACTGGGAGCAGGCCATCAAATTAATTCGACATAAACCCGTAGATGATAAATCAAACAACAACAAACATATGAAACATATGT